TGTAAGGTATCCGGCGGCCGCACACTACGGTCCGCCACCGTCCAATCACGACGGGGCGGCCCGAGGCTCCGCCCACCGGCTCCGTAGTTTGCGGCCGGCGGACACCTTACACCGGAGCCTGCAACTTCCCACAAGGTCACCGCTGCCGCCCCCTGCGCTCTGCCGCCCCGAGGCCGGGCCTCGGTGGCCTTGTGGGAAATCCGGGCCTGTTCATGGCAGGATCACCAGGAATGTTTTTATGAAAACTGCGCATATAAAATAATTGGAATCAACTTTTGAAACTGGTTAATATGTTAAAGATTGTATAGGATTTAAAGGAGAACTATGGGGTTAGGGCTTTTCCCCATAGTTCTCCCTAGGGTAACGGGAGGACACAAACAGGCGTCCTCCCGTCACCCTAAGCTCAGTATACCATGAGCTACAGCTCGCGGTATACTGAGACGCCGCAGCTGAAGCGGATCCCGGAGTTCAATCTTAAGACATTCAAGTACTTTAACTGATAACAAAAATGTATCTTATTTGTGCATCACTCGGCTGTAGATCCTCAAATTATCTCTGAATTGGTGCTGACACTGTCCTTCCTTCTGGAGGGTGGCTAATTTTGTTCCCCATGGTCCCTGTGTGTGCTGTAAAGTAGCCACCACTTCAAGCTCACTCTTGTGATGGAATACAATCTCAATACAAATGAGTTAACTAAACATGAGATTGTAGTCCATCATGGGAATGAGCTTGAAGTGGTGGCTACTTTACAGCACACACAGGGACCATGGGGAACAAAATTAGCCACCCTCCAGAAGGAAGGACAGTGTCAGCACCAATTCAGAGATAATTTGAGGATCTACAGCCGAGTGATACACAAATAAGATACATTTTTGTAAATAGTTGAGGTACTTGAAGGCATTTTTAGAATTGAACTCCTGCGTTTAGTGTCACTTTAACACCTATTCTTTCACATATTTAACTCATCCCGCACTTGTAGCCTCTGCCCCAAAAGCATACAGTTCCTGTGCTGAAATCATGCATCTCTGAGATACCAGTGCCAAAAGAAACAACTCTATGGCAGGACTATCAATTGGCCTCTCAACCTCAATGAGTTGTTTTTTTCTTTTGAATGCAACATAATATTTAAACTTAAAAGGTAATTATATTAGTTTTGTATATATTTTCTTTTTTTATTATGGAAAGAACTAAACAAAACTAAAATGTAAAAAAATATTTACTTTTAGTCAGGTAAAGAAATAAAAAAAGCATTATTTGTATTCTTCTTTTAAGCCACAGATAAAGCTTAAGGTTTTTTTTCACATTTTCATCTATTTCTTTGCCCTCTGTTGAAAAAAGTCACACAGGCTAATCATTCAGAGCAGTGACTCATCACAGAGCAGTGACTCATTCCTGATCAAATGGCTTTGTCCATGGTTTCAGTCAGACAAAGCAAGCCTCGAAGCAGGCAGCTCTTCTGTGCTGTCTTCTCAGATAACTCATGGTGCTCTGGCAATTGTTTGCCATGTATTAAAGCCCAATTGAAGCTTCTGCTCAAAAGGGTAAACATTTAATCATATTGCAGCAAAATAGTAACAGTTCTATGTCACACCTTTGTTTTTATTTATTTTTGTTAAATCCCCCCACCCCAGCTCTAGCAAAAGGTCTCTCCTCACAGTATGCTGCAGAGAGGACCTGTGTCCCCTGTTGCGATCCTCTCTGAAGTGATCCTACATGTCCTGACATCTGCTGTGTCAGCTCTCCAATCTGTAACACATGCTCTACTCAATTTACCTAAAATGAATCATAGAAATAGAGTTTCAATCTTGGCAAACGGCATAAAACTAATTTATAATGGAAGATGTAAGTAAAAGAGTTACATTAATCATGGATAACAAAGATCTAATCAAAGTGGAAGTGACTATACACTTTCCAGAAGTACCGGTAATTATTTACAGTGATGTTTCTCAAACAATTCATCCCCACACAGCTACCTCCTCATGTATCACTTCTCCCTCTCTTTTAGATTGTAAGCCCTCAGGGGCAGGGACCTCCTTACCATCTTGTCTTGAATTGTATTGTGATTGTAGTATCTTCCTTATATTGTAAAGCACTGTGCAAACTGTTGGCGCTACATAAATCCTGTATAATAATAATTATAATAATAATGTTTAAGATTTATTATAATCCCAATTAATATAATAGGACTTACCAAGTCCTAGGCAAGATACTCGGAGTCCAGATTTCCCAAGATTCCTGCAGGTAAAACAGAAAAATTTTACCTATTCAGCATGTAAAAACATAATCACCATGATCATTAACAATTCCAATCTGCCTGCTGCAAATATTGTACAGAATATGCAGCTTCACCACTGTTATGTCACAGATTTTCAGTCTAGCATCTCTGGAATTTTCCAGAAGAGATCGTCATTTCAACAGTATTTCTGGACAGGTTTGTATTCTGCAGTAGTAAGCTATTCAGTTCCAAAGAGTTCCGTTTATAGGATCAGTCCACCTAAAACTAATATTTAAGTTTTTAGTAGATTCTAAAACACAGTTTCTTATATCTCTCAAGGACTCTGTTAGTGGGACATCTGTGCTTGAGTTTCCATGCTCTGCAAACCTCCCTTGTGGAACCCATAGATGTGGACAGGCTTACATTTACCAGTGGTAGCATTGAGATTTTACTACTGGAGTATCAAGAACATAAGAAGCCAGAGGCGGCCTAGCCCACTGGGCTAAACCTATAACTTAAATATCTCTTTTGGGTGGAATAATCCTTTATTAAGCAAGCAGGATTCACTGCAGCCTTGATGCAGTTTGCTCACAGCCCTTACCCCACCTATGCCCACTTCTAACAGGCAAACGACAACAGAGCGCACACTCACCAATCCTCTTGCTCAGGGGCTGACAACCCATATACTTTCATCACAAAGGATGTTAGCAATTAGTGGTGGTATAGAGGTGACTTAAAACCTTTTTTTAATATTTCTTTTAACTAGGAAAAAAGAAAACAGAAACAATCTGATAATTATTGGATCTAAGACTGAATTGTGGATATGGTGAACTTCCAAAGGTGCAGTATTTGAAGTATGCCAATACCTACATAAGTCTCAATATATTTGTTTGCTACCCAAAATGAAGTGATGCTTTTGCTTCATTTACTGCATACCATGGACCTATACTGTATACAATTTAATTCTAATACATTAGATCTGCTGTAGCACTGTCAGGAACATACTATAAGACTGAGCTAATCATGCTGTTAAAAGAATGATAGACAAAGCAGTAACCCTCTCCACTACCATGTCATTATGGTACAAGAAATAGCTTTCTGTGGTATTACTACTAGACTTCTGAGACAAAACATCACGCACACAAAATATTCATTACTGAAAGGAAGAAAAAGACATGTAAGTTAAATTGAGAATGCCAGAGAACAAGCATATTCCACTGTGAATTGTGAATGGAGACATTTTGTAGGAAGAAATCATTGAACCTGACAGAGGGTATGTTAGATCAGTCAGTGAACAAGGTATGTTTGATTGATGTTTTCCTATGACATAATGAAGTAATAGCAGAGACATTGGAAATTATATTAGATCTGAAGAGCTTGGAGCCAGCCAAAACTCCCAACGTTCTTCTCTTTAAATTAATGTCTATTCCAATTCATATCTGCTTTACTCCTGACAGAATTACACAAGAGATGTTATGGAGCAATGACATTCTGGAGGCAAACTCCTGGGATGGATTCCAGCCCCCTTCATCCTATTGGCAACGACAGCCTCTTGAATACACATTAATGTTCACTGCCCTGTGGCTCCTGCAAGTCTTTCATACTTGTAGCTTAGAGTTCAGCAATGAAGAGCGCTCAAAGCAAGGTGATTGGCTTGGAACTTTTAGGTCAGTTGCTCTCAGCAGCATATGCTCAGCATGTTTTGCTAAAGCATCAGCTACATCAACTCTCTGCAAGTTAACCGATACTGACGGGTTCAGCTGTTCAGAGATACTGAAGTAATACATATATATATATAACCTGTGCCATTCACTGGAATGATGCCGGTATGACCTGGATTAGGGAAAGATAATCAAGTGCTCAGTAAAGTAATTTCCCATTAAGTACCCACATGAATTCTGTACTGCTACAATGATTTGTGAAAAAGGATGCATACATATTAGGGATGCAACGAAATTTCGGCCGCCGAAACATATCGGCCGAAAATTGCACTTTTGGCAAAATGCTGAAAGTACTATCTTTCGGCTGAAATTGCGGTGCATCCATAGTTCCCCCTCTGACACAGCGCAGCGTCCAGCGGGGAGGAGAGGTACTGTCACAGGAGCCCAAGCAGTGCGGGGGAGAGCGTTGTGAACACCTGGCGTGTCACAGGAGGAGCTCTCCTCCCGCACCGCCCCCACCAGCTTCCTGTAACAGATCAGGATGGAGAGCGGCTGTGTGGGGTTCGAGACTGCCGTGTGCTGTCACAGGTGCCTGAGCTGGTGGTGCGGGTTAGGAGTCAGCTGTAAAGATAGACTGAGCTCTCCTCCCCGCACCGCCAGCTCAGCTGTGACAGCGAGTCAGGATGGAAAGTGGTACAAGCAGCCAGCGATCAGCTGATCATTGACTGTAAATAACTGGACATAGTATGAGCTACTATGTACCAGTTATGAATACATAGGAAGTGATCTACATTTCTTCCTATTCTTTCATAATTGTGTACATAGTAAATCATACTATCTCCACAAGTTATGAATGAATAGGAACACTCAGTATAGAGCATTCCTGTTCATTTATAACAGGGGCTGCAGAAAAAGAGATTATAGACTCTGTCCTCAATCTCTTTTCCTATTTTAAAAGGGAAATATCAGGGGTCTGGACCCCTGATATTTCACCAAAGTACCCAGCAGTAAAGTTCAAAAATAAAGATATTTAATATAAATACATAGATCGTCATTTCAACAGTATTTCTGGACAGGTTTGTATTCTGCAGTAGTAAGCTATTCAGTTCCAAAGAGTTCCGTTTATAGGATCAGTCCACCTAAAACTAATATTTAAGTTTTTAGTAGATTCTAAAACACAGTTTCTTATATCTCTCAAGGACTCTGTTAGTGGGACATCTGTGCTTGAGTTTCCATGCTCTGCAAACCTCCCTTGTGGAACCCATAGATGTGGACAGGCTTACATTTACCAGTGGTAGCATTGAGATTTTACTACTGGAGTATCAAGAACATAAGAAGCCAGAGGCGGCCTAGCCCACTGGGCTAAACCTATAACTTAAATATCTCTTTTGGGTGGAATAATCCTTTATTAAGCAAGCAGGATTCACTGCAGCCTTGATGCAGTTTGCTCACAGCCCTTACCCCACCTATGCCCACTTCTAACAGGCAAACGACAACAGAGCGCACACTCACCAATCCTCTTGCTCAGGGGCTGACAACCCATATACTTTCATCACAAAGGATGTTAGCAATTAGTGGTGGTATAGAGGTGACTTAAAACCTTTTTTTAATATTTCTTTTAACTAGGAAAAAAGAAAACAGAAACAATCTGATAATTATTGGATCTAAGACTGAATTGTGGATATGGTGAACTTCCAAAGGTGCAGTATTTGAAGTATGCCAATACCTACATAAGTCTCAATATATTTGTTTGCTACCCAAAATGAAGTGATGCTTTTGCTTCATTTACTGCATACCATGGACCTATACTGTATACAATTTAATTCTAATACATTAGATCTGCTGTAGCACTGTCAGGAACATACTATAAGACTGAGCTAATCATGCTGTTAAAAGAATGATAGACAAAGCAGTAACCCTCTCCACTACCATGTCATTATGGTACAAGAAATAGCTTTCTGTGGTATTACTACTAGACTTCTGAGACAAAACATCACGCACACAAAATATTCATTACTGAAAGGAAGAAAAAGACATGTAAGTTAAATTGAGAATGCCAGAGAACAAGCATATTCCACTGTGAATTGTGAATGGAGACATTTTGTAGGAAGAAATCATTGAACCTGACAGAGGGTATGTTAGATCAGTCAGTGAACAAGGTATGTTTGATTGATGTTTTCCTATGACATAATGAAGTAATAGCAGAGACATTGGAAATTATATTAGATCTGAAGAGCTTGGAGCCAGCCAAAACTCCCAACGTTCTTCTCTTTAAATTAATGTCTATTCCAATTCATATCTGCTTTACTCCTGACAGAATTACACAAGAGATGTTATGGAGCAATGACATTCTGGAGGCAAACTCCTGGGATGGATTCCAGCCCCCTTCATCCTATTGGCAACGACAGCCTCTTGAATACACATTAATGTTCACTGCCCTGTGGCTCCTGCAAGTCTTTCATACTTGTAGCTTAGAGTTCAGCAATGAAGAGCGCTCAAAGCAAGGTGATTGGCTTGGAACTTTTAGGTCAGTTGCTCTCAGCAGCATATGCTCAGCATGTTTTGCTAAAGCATCAGCTACATCAACTCTCTGCAAGTTAACCGATACTGACGGGTTCAGCTGTTCAGAGATACTGAAGTAATACATATATATATATAACCTGTGCCATTCACTGGAATGATGCCGGTATGACCTGGATTAGGGAAAGATAATCAAGTGCTCAGTAAAGTAATTTCCCATTAAGTACCCACATGAATTCTGTACTGCTACAATGATTTGTGAAAAAGGATGCATACATATTAGGGATGCAACGAAATTTCGGCCGCCGAAACATATCGGCCGAAAATTGCACTTTTGGCAAAATGCTGAAAGTACTATCTTTCGGCTGAAATTGCGGTGCATCCATAGTTCCCCCTCTGACACAGCGCAGCGTCCAGCGGGGAGGAGAGGTACTGTCACAGGAGCCCAAGCAGTGCGGGGGAGAGCGTTGTGAACACCTGGCGTGTCACAGGAGGAGCTCTCCTCCCGCACCGCCCCCACCAGCTTCCTGTAACAGATCAGGATGGAGAGCGGCTGTGTGGGGTTCGAGACTGCCGTGTGCTGTCACAGGTGCCTGAGCTGGTGGTGCGGGTTAGGAGTCAGCTGTAAAGATAGACTGAGCTCTCCTCCCCGCACCGCCAGCTCAGCTGTGACAGCGAGTCAGGATGGAAAGTGGTACAAGCAGCCAGCGATCAGCTGATCATTGACTGTAAATAACTGGACATAGTATGAGCTACTATGTACCAGTTATGAATACATAGGAAGTGATCTACATTTCTTCCTATTCTTTCATAATTGTGTACATAGTAAATCATACTAT